TCAATGGCTCGACCCATTACCCCTTCCAAGAGTGTGCACTAGTAATCTATTTTTCTCGATTTGTCTTTCAAGGTGTCATAAATAGTTGCTGTCAAGATGAACCCTTAGGCTCGTAGCTCTCTTCCATGCTTATATAGCATTAGCCTAGAATGAAGTTTAGGCTGTCTTGAACCCCTACAACGCCACGTGTAAAAAAGATAGGAATCGTTTTCCATTGTTTCTGTAACGTCTTCTGTTTTGCCTCCTTTGGACATCTTTGAGAGAACGTATTCCTCTCCTCTGTAAAGAAGAGCTGCTGAACCTGGACTTGAGGCGTATACATCCTAAGGGCCTAGGATTGACTTTGGAAGATCTTTGAAATCTCGCTATACGAACCGCGTGAGAGGATATTCATTGAAGGTAGCTCTCGAGCATGGTTCTGTAAAGTTTCGGAGTGGCGGGCCATATTTGAAGCAAAAATAATGGTGCATGCGATATTGCATAAAATATATTTTAAAATAAACATATTAGAGATATTGTGAGTGTGATGTGCCTTCAATGGAATGTTTATCCCTTTAATACATTATGTAGCAGATATGGTACATACCAAAGAGAATCATTTAGAATGTGTAGGCAGCAGGCACCTGAAGTAAATCAGTTCATAGCAGATGTGCAACAGTCTGGTCCTTATACCTAACAACCACACGGTCGCTAAGTGCCATACACCCCTAGTGGCAAGCAAATTAAAGACACCTGGCTTTGCCTGGTGACTGACCGACGTTTTGGTGCAATTATCTCAACTTTAATCCAGGGTCCAGGCTCATCTGTATTTTTACATTTTCTTTCATGATGAAGCATAAATAAATCTTGACAGGCTGAATGAGCTCTCTAGCATCTGTGCAGTGTGGGTTAGAAAGCTGGAAATGCTGTTTGTAGAAAATGAGCAACAATAACATTTTTGGGCCTACTGCTTATAAATTTGAGGGAAACATTTTTTCCCACTTTTCCTGTGTTCTAGGACCTAAGTAAAACCTACCAAATTTTTTTCAGACAGATAAAAAATCATGCATTAAAGTGTTAACGTGACTATCTGTGACTATCTTTAAGAAGAAACTGGATGCTTTTATGGACAAGCAAAAAGGTGTGGGGCAATGTTGACGTTAGGTACTAGACAGTAAGTAACTAGGATAGGCAAATAACAAAAACAAAAAAAAAACAAAAGACAAAACAAAACAAAACAAAATACAAAAATATTTAGCTTTAAGAAAGGTAGGCCTACCCTCAAAATAAGGAATACAAAAATACAAAAATATTTAGCTTTAAGAGGGTTAGGCCTACCCTAAAATTAAGGAATGCTCAACCTCGACACATGATATCGAAACGGGCAAAATCGCCTCTTGATATTACTAACTATCTTGAATCTTGAGGTACCATCCTCTATACATCTCTTTATTTTAATGTGAAACAATTGACAGATCCAGCCTGCTGGCTGTACTTTGGACTTCCCTGTGATAGGGAGGTATATAAGGTTCCATCTTCAGATTGGGTTCATGCTTGTTGCACACAGAATGTGCTAATTTTACCTGCTCAGGTACAGCCAAAACCCTACTTTCAGAGTTCAGGGAGTGACTTTGAGGCACTGTTTCCTGTTATGATGTCTTGTTTAATTCTGTCTCTCAGTAAACGCTCCTTGCTTCCTTGAAATGATATTGTTATCTTGGTGCTGCTATTGCCCTCTCATTGGTCAATCAGTATGACAGGCCTATTTCTTGGTCAAGCTTCTCTTTTCCACCAGATGCATTGGTCAGCATGAAGGCATTGGGCATAACTTTTACTCTGAATTCATGCTCAGCCTTAGCATAATATATCTGTTCTAGAAAAAAGATAATAAGAGGAAAACATTTTTTGGTGAGTATTGATAAGGGCCTTTCAGCTCGAAATGGGTTGGCAGGATCTAACCTACACTGACTTCTTTTTCACCCTTTCACCATAGAAAATATCACTCCTTTCATGAAAGTAAAATTGTCACAAATGACTCATTAGGTCAGTTATTGTAAAATACAAATAGACTCTCAAGAAGTTGTTTAGGCAGTGTTCTGTCCAGGTTTGGGAAAGAAAATGATCCTATCATTCAGTAAAGGCATAAGCCACCAACAGGGGGCAGGGGGTAAACTGCACGCATGAAAAATCGATTGCATCTTGATAACATGCCTCTACTCATTTTGCAGCCTTCTCTCTCAATCTCAAACCTCAAACTTAATCCATCAATGACTTCAACTGGACCAGACTGATGAATGAGGGGGGTGGGGGGTGGGAGGTGCTAAGTGACCTGAAGAATAGGAGACATTTGCTAATGCTCTCTTATCAAGGAGGGGGTTATGGGAAGGTTGAAACATTCAATTCTTTGTCCCCTGTCTCCAACCTCAAAAAAACGTTGTGTGCTTATAAGTATAATTTATATTTTGACTGCAAAACAGAATTTTTGACATGTGAAATTTATCACCAGTGATGTGCTTGGCAGCCAACATGTAATTATATTGCTAAGCAGGTTTGATTGGTGAGCTTTGCACAAGAGTGAAGTATTTCTATCTGAATGGATAGGAACCAGAGGTACTTTCCTGCTATAATGATAATCCATGTGGTTAGCATTGCTTTTTCCCTACCCTCCATTGTCAATCAGTTAGCCAACCACCAGTGAAAGATTGATTGCTATGGTGAACTTATGTCCTTTCTATTGAATGGGATGCCATTTAAGCTTTGCACATCTGTAGGTCTCCAACATTGAAACCTAGGCCTAGTGCAGGAGATCATTTGTGTTTTCTCTCCGCTTAATAGTACTTGTTGATACTATGAATACCATCCATAGAAGTATGTGCAGATCAATTGGTGTCTTTGTTTTCAAACATTACATTTATGGATCAAAGAATATAGGCATGGAGAGGAATAGAGGCAGAAAGGTTTAATCTGTTCAGGAAAGTTGGTGATGAAGTGAAGGAGGCTAATTCCAGGTGAGCTTCACATAATTTATTGAGCAAGTGAATTTCCAACATAGCTAAACTCTGCTTTGTCATTCTCATCTGAATGTGCTTATTCCCACATGGGTCTAAGGTTAGTTCCAAGGCAGCTTGACTATTGACTGTTAAACTGTAGATGAGAGACTATAATTTAGCATAGTCTACTTGAGTAGGGCAAGAATATGCCTTGCTTGAAGTAGAGAAATGCCTACACTGCATCCCATTTGTATAGTTGGAAAATGGCTAGTAGTGACTCTGAGTCAGCAAAAGAGCCAAGATGTTAACCGTGGTGAGAACTCATTCCTTATTTCCCTCATTAGGGATGCTCTAGTCACTGCCACTGTCACTGCCTTCGCCCATGTCATCCTGTGATAATCTGGTGAACTTGAATTGCTTTGCAATACTGCAGCTGAAATAAATTGAGGAGTTCTCTGGAAAGAGGGCATAAGTGCCCATATGCCCTTTTTCCATATCCATGTCCATATGCTGTTTGAGGTGACTTGTCATAGGATAGGGTGGTCAGCAGGAAGTTGAAATGTGTATTCAGCAAAGGAGAAGCAGATTTTTCTATGCTTTCAATATATAGCAGGCCAACATCCTGACAATTTCAATATGCTACCTCCGTGAATATTCTATTAGCACCTCCATCACTGAACGAATTTGGTGGAATAATTCCATTCTTTTGAACTGACAGTGAGGATGAGTAAGAAGCCAGACAGGGAGAAAGAAGTAAGTGATGCAGTCATCCAAGCATCTGAAAGGATGTGAGAAGTTGGCGAAATCCATGAAGCAGTTGGAGATTCAAATAATGAGTAAATTAATAATGATGAGTAATTGGTGAATGAAACTTGCCTTGAACATTCACCCTTTTATTGCCATTCTTTAAGGAAGGGTTTATTTGAAATCTGTAGATGTATTCCCTGGTAAATTATGATATTTAACTGGAAAGAATTGGTGAAAGACTGGTTGAAAAAAGTTCCAGCAATGCGGATATGGAAAAAGGGCATATGTGCATTAAGACTTTCTGCCTGCCACCTAGCAATGTGACATAACGAAATTCGTCAAAACCCCAAGATTCTATTTGACTGAAAACTGAGTTTTGACCAGCTGCAGATTAGCTGTGGGAAGTTTTTGCCATTTATCTCGAATTGCATCTTTTGCACATACGCCCTTTTTCCAGAGAACTCCTCAATTGCTCTTTAGAATACTTTCCACCAGATTCCCTTTCGCCATTCACGATGACAGCAGCATTTGCCGCTGACAGAACTTGTAATTTTCGGGGGAAGTCACAGGACGCTGGCCGAAGAGCGAAAAAATACAACACGTGGGGAGGAGAGAATGCCAGGAAATTCTCATATGGCATCTGCTGACGTTTAACCCTAACCTTCGCGTTTATTCCTTCCGTTCTTCTTTCTTTCCTGCTCCCCCTTCTAGCTATTTTCATCCAGAACGCTTTTTCTTATTTGTCTCTCTTCCGTTGGACCTCCCCCGTAGAATGGAGTGTTGTTAGATATGCTGTACCCCGGCTTTCTCCCCTTTCCCCCCTCCATTTCCTTTCCTTTCATACCCATCTGCCCTTCATTGCTTCTTCCCGCTTCTCGGGACGAATTTCTATTTCGTGGTCATCTCGCAGCTTGTATCGCGTGACCTTGAGAAATTCCGCGAAGACTGATTCAGCGCTTCATGACTTCACTTATAATCGTGCCATAATGGGAAGACCGTGTTTCGACGGATGTAGCGTGACTCCGATTTCCATCGCACGTTTCATCGTGATGAACATCGAAGCGATGAACAGTGTAGACTTGCATATACTCGTGGCGCCTTCCTACCCCCCCCCCCTCCATTTTTTCCTTATTCCTTGCCCCTTCTCCGTGATCTTGTGGCGTCCTTAATGCAACGGAACAAGTTTCTAGTAAGTAGGTTATGGATGCTCTTCCGAGTCTGAGGAGACATGATCCATAGTAACGGGTGGGGCTTCGATCAAACACGTCTCGTACACCTGTGACCCTGTATTCCGCAGATGAGGTGTTGAATGTGATAAACGAGTATGGAATTGAAAGTGTGGGTGGAAGGGATCCAGAGGATCGTGTGCGGTGTCACCGATAAAACCACCTGCCAGGTCAGTCACAATTCCTCTTTCGATATTGAAAAATGCCTCTTTTATTTTAAGAGAATGAGAACATCGCGATTGCCCTGATGTATTTGGGTAAGTCAGCGCTTTCTTCAAGGTTTTCGAGAATACAGCTGCTTCTAAATTTGACGGAAATAGCTTCGAGGGAGTAAGCGAAGCGCCATCCCCATATGTCGGTGGAAAGGGGAGGGAGCAGTCGATAATATCTTGTGACAATGCGGAACTTCTAAGCGTCCCAGTGTTTGCACTGTGCTCTTTGTTTGCCCTATCCTGCGTCTTCCTCAGTTGGGCATATTCTATAAGTGAGGCTCAGTTTCAATTGGTTTTTATTCAGACTGGAAGTTAGCACATGTGACAGTATGCACGTACAAAGGGAGGAGCAAAGATTGTCATAGTTTAGAAGTCTAGCGCCTAATACTTGAAGTTTGAAAGGTTTAGGAGTGTGTGCGAGTGTGGCTATAGTGCTGGAATAAAAAAAAAACTATGAAGATAGGATGACATGAGCTGATGTAGTGTTCTATGGATGATAAGATTAATTTCATAGGTATGAAATGTCTCTGGTCACCACTTAACTCTTAGGGGCACTCAGAAATTGAATGTAGCCTTTTTTGTAATTAGTGCAAATGCTTTTTTTTTTTAGGGACAAGCAGGAATTTATTCAGGTACTAATTCAAGCAGACATATTTAGTGGGTGAGGCAGTTATGAATGTGAAAGAGGACTAGTGTTTTGCACCATGGGTTTGTCTATAAATGGTGGGGTTAGATGAAGGGAGGAAAGGTTCATGAGGTAGAATGAGGTAGTAGCATGTCTTGAGAGTAGTGTAATTGTACTCTTTTTGGGATAGTGAGAGGTTGGAGGTGAAGGGGTAAAGTCCAGAAATTTAAGGGGATACCTTACCTTCCAAGGTTCAGGAGAGGGATAAAACCTGTATGCACAACATTAGCATACTGATGATGTGCATGTAGGGTGAGATACGAGCAGGCACTTTGCTTTGAAGGAGTAAATTCACATAAAACATTTTTATTCTGTTCAGGAAAGCAGATTGTAGATTTCCATTTTGCAGATCAGTGTTACATGATGGGAAGTGAGAGCAATAATAAGTAAATGGATGTGTCATCCACCTTAATACATTTACAGTAGAAAAGAAGGTAATTGATCTAGACAGAGAATAAGAGAGAACTCAGAATGGAGCCTTATAGGGCATCTATGGGATGATTACTGAGTGGAAGAAATGTAGCCAACATTTGGGACAATACATTTTAGCCAGTTGCAGTTATAGAACTGGAAGAGGGGAAGGGGGGAGGTGGTAGGTATGATTGCATCTCAAGTTAATATGAATATGGAGGAGAATGATGTGATTGATGGCATCAAAATCCCTGAATAAGTCAAGGAAGACCACTCAAAAAAGTGAAGATGCCTTGAACAGTGTGGGATGTGGAACTTCTGCTATATGATTTGGACTGGTATATTCCTAACATTGGTCAATATTCAACATTGACACAATGTTCTTGTAGTTCTAAGTAGGATCCTATCAAGCAAAGGTGCACTAGTTAGTTTCTGCTTTAGTCCTTTTTAGGCCCAAAAAGAATTGAACCCAAGGGATTCGGAATGTGTATGTGCTGCTCAGGTCTTAGGGGGTTATTATAACTTGAATGTAGTATAAAAAAGCCCTGTAATAGCTTATATAAATTTTATTCACTTTGTTTATGAATGAATAAGCATGGGATTCATAGGTGTGACATTCACCTATATTATCATGCAGGATGTGGTGTATGCCTTGGCTCATGCCACAGGGAGGACTGGGAGGTTCACCTTGATAGAACGATGGAGAAATAATGAAAGGTTACTTGCTCCCCAGGAGAATCCACTTAAGGTCAGTTTTTTGCTTAATGACTATGTGAGATACTCTCTGAATGTTGGGTATTGATTATGCATTGTGCTTGCTTTCATTTTCAGGTGCTTATGAAATGGGGAGAATACTCAACAGATGTGCAATTCATCCTTCAGAGAACACCCTTGGAGAAGGAGACTTCTTCACCTTCTGATGCAAAGCCCTGGGCCAAACATGGCCCAGAATCCAAGAATGTCAAAAGAGACAATGTGGGTATTGTGAAAGGGGTACCACAGCAACGAGATAGCAACAGCAAGAGTGAACCTGGCAATTTCCTGACTAAAACGTGTGACCAGGAGAAGCCAGGAGGGAGTCATCGTGAAGGGATCTCTACAGGAAGTGCCCAGTTCTGCAGTCCTGTAGATGGCCCAAGCCCTAGTCAGCTGCCTCTAGGACTTCCCCCCTACCGAGACCCACCCCGGCCCTCTAGTCCCTGGGACAAGAGTCCCATTCGTCCCCCACCGCCTTACCGAGAGCCTCCACCTGTAAAACAGCGAACAATTCCACCCAGGACCATGGCAGGGAATTCATTTGACAGGGATGAAGATGCACGCACACCTAGTCCTGAGGAGATGAAAAACTCCCGGTTTGCTGAAGTCAGATCTCCTACCCCTACTCCACGACGTCACCTCCTCAAGGTATCTTCTATCCTGTCCAGAGACTGTGAAGTCTGATCTCATTCCAGATTTTCAGCCCCTTAAATTGAAACACTGCTTAATGTGATGCTAATTTTGACAGTGCTCCTGGCCCTATTATAATGCAGTTTATGCGGCAATGTGACCATTAGGTGTCTCATTTTTATTTCTGCCTATTCTCTCCAGAAGTTGTACACTTTTGACTGGATTTTTATCAAACTTTTTGTGAATTTGTTCAGACAGAATGTACTCCTGTCGAGTTGAGTTTATTACCAAAGGGCAACATGCTATAAAGAGCAGTTGCTAGTTTTGTCAGATTTGCAACAATCTTCATAAGCAATTTGATGCTGGGAAGGAGTAAAATGAGAATATAACTGTAGGATTTACTTTTTTAACCCACAAATGAATATCATTTGACCTTCATCAAACAATTGACATCTTACGTGACCCAAATGGATATAGCATTCTGATATCATCTTTTGATATGAAAAATCACAAATCAGTTTAAAGAAAAAAGGGATTTAGAGTAGTTTAAAACATATACAAGGTGTCCATGAAGTCACTTCCCTATTTCAAAAGGCCCTATCTCAATTACGGTGTGGCCTAGAAACTTCATATTCAGCATAGATGATGTGCAGCCAATGGGATTTATGATAGCTGAGTTTCCAAAGGTTTTCAGAAAGTTTCTGGATATCACCTCCAGGGTGGCGCTGTACCAGCCAAACACACAGTCCAAAGTCGGCACATATATCAATATCCATGTGGATGGCATGATCAAACCTACAGGTATTAGATGTGGCCACCCCTTGCTGCTACCACCGCCTCCATACATGTAATGAAGTGGTAGACAACAGAACGCAGTCAGATGATAGTGTCAGAATCTGGCGCAGCAAGGCACCACTTTGCATTTCTTGAGCTCCCCTTAGTTTGTAGGACGGCCACTGTAAACCTTACAGCCAGAAGTCTGCAGGGGTAAGATTCGGCAGCCAGACCTGTGAGAAAGCCCTGCTGTTCACACGTTCCTGGAACATATGTAGGAAAGGAGAAGAGACTGGATGCGTCTCCCAAAGTGTTTAGGGACCCATGTCTCTGGCCAGTACAGTGCCGCTCTAGTGGGGATATCCAGAAACTTTTTGAAATTCTTTGGAAACTTGGCTATCATAAATCCCATTGGCTGCACATCATCTATGCTGAATATGAAGTTTCTAGGCTGCTCCGTAATGGAGATAGGGCCTTTTGAAATAAGGAAGTGACTCTATGGACACCTTGTATTTAACAACTTGAGGAGTAATTGCAGCTACTAGTTTTAACAAGGATTTTTTGCAAGTTGTGGTTATATAGAAATGTGCCAGTTTAATTAGTAATTGTTAACCCTTTGAGGAGTATGGACTTCCTTTTACATCCATACTCCTCAAAGGGTTAAGAAAACTCACTCTTCAAAGGGTTAAAAAAACTTACTGTTGCCCATTACTGTGAGTATAGGTCTTTTCATGTGTTCTGTCCTTCAACTTGTTCTTTTATGGGCTGTATTCAAATATTCAAATTCTCTAAGTCACAGTGGTGTTGCATTATCTTATTTTGGATAGGAATTCAAGTCTCACAGTGCAGGGGAGAAAGATTCTTTCCCTGGAGGATCTCCATCCAAGAGTCCCCGATATAGGGAACTTCTGGACTATGTGAACTCACAGCGGGAACACCTGTCATACCAGCAAGCCGAAATCACTCAAGTCAGTTGCAACCAGAAATCTAGAAACCTAATTTTCTAAATACTCCTTGGGGGATTACTTTTGAGGTTTCAGTGATATTCAGCCTACAAAGGTTGACTTGGGCATGATTGCAAGCTATAATTACTTAGTACAAGCCAGAATGTCATTCATTAATTATTGAAATATTAATTTGAAAATCTCTAATATGGGTAACAGAATACTAAGATATTGGCTACTTTGCCCAGACGTCATGAGCTGAAAATTTCCATATTGATGGTGTGCTTAACCTTTCAACTATTTCATGCAAGGTACAGTTTTGCTAATGATACTCCATATTATGTTCTGGCACCATAGTATGATGCTGAGATCCAGTACTGGGAGGTGAAAGCACGGGAGCAACAAAAGTACTTTGACCAGATCAGCCAGGAAACCCTACGGCTTGAGGCTCTCAACTGCACCCATGAGCAAGAAGTGAATTTTCTTGCATTTCATGTCTTGATATTTCTTTTAAAGCATTCAGCCCCATGTTGTTAATCATCATTTTGTCATCAATATGTGTGATTATAGGTGAGGGAGCTACACCAGATTGAAGAGGAAATGAAGCTGTCAAGTCAGAGGGAGAGGACTCTCCAGTCAGAACTGACACTTCTTCGCTCCAAGTTGGCCAACTGTGAAACCCAGCTTCTGCAATGCAAGAACAAAATAAGGTAAGGCATCTCAAAGAAGAAAATGGTCCTCCGATTACTTCTGGATTTAACTTCAGGATTTGACAGCACTCTTGCTCCAAATATGTAAAAGAATAAATCCCAAGTTATTCCAGAAGACTCAGTAGGATTAGAGAGGGCAAGAAGTGAGAAAAGATTTGGTTTGTTTTGATAAGAGATAGAGCAAACAGCTTGTGGGACTTGTTTATAGAATGCCAAGCCCTGTGCTAGGATGTGTTTTTTATTTTTATTTAAATGATAGTGTCCATTGCATAAGGGAAGGTGGAGCACCATGAACCATTTTTAGATTTTTGTTCTCAAGGACGTAGCTTTGTACAAACTTCCTGAAAATTTTATTATATATTGCTTGATATGCATTTCCCATTCCCAGCATTTCCCATAAGTAAATAAATAACAATTTTTCAATTCCTTATATGGAAAGAAAACTGGAGGGCATAAAGGAAAGTACAGAGCCTCAAAAATTAGCTTGATACCAAGACTACTAGTCTGTCTAGTTGCAGAAAAACAGTCCTCTATATTTTACCCCTATTTCAATTTGTATCAAAATTGTTTTCTTCAAAAATGCTCCATTTTTCCATTTTTTTAATACAAATACCTGAAAACAAAGGCAGAAAATGGCATGAGTTCATGATTGAACTTGCACTGGTTTGTGAGGGCATATATATTGAGTTTTGTTACAACATCTTTGATTCTTGAGGTGCTGAAGGGTATGGTTCATTGTGGCCAACCCTCTTTTATTCCTTGTTTGTGGAGAGTGCTCATTCTTCTATGATCTCATTTACAATCTAGGTAGTGTTGGATGTGTGAGCAGGCTAAGCTGCTGTTACAGCCTTACTGACTTACAAGGCAAAGGTTCAGCATCTATGTTGCTGTCTTAGAACCAAAAGACCTTGGAAGCCTTACTATAAATGCTGACTAAGCTGCCATTGTCCTAAATGCTGCCATTGTCCAGCCCTGAAAATGCCCTCACCTGAAATTGAAGTGCTTCAGCTTTCAATTTCACCCTGAATTCCTCACCTGTCATGGTTCTTATGAAATTGTCTAGTAGCCACACTGTCTTTAAATATCACTGATTATTCTGTCATATTTCAAGTCCTGCAATATGTATGTCAAAATCTATCTCTAAGGAGGGTTATAATTGTTTGCAAGTCATAAAATTCAAGTGGAGTGCCAAATGATGGAGGAAGAAACCACACCAGAGTAAACTTTATTGTCACTAGATGACAATTCTGCCAATCAATTGGGTTTTTAATTAATGAGCCAGCAACTGACAGCTGCTTACTTACAGCTTACATTATGGTATGGGCATTTGCTCTGACTATAGTTTTCTTCTGGATTTCGCATTGTGTCAGACTTATTTCTGGCCAAAGGTGTTCTTTTCCTTTGGGAGTTTTTGAGTCCTTTTTTTTTTGAGCCAAAAGTAGCACTTCACAAAGATTTAACTTTCCCCACCCCACACCTCATCTACTCTTGCATTAAAATTAACCCCAATTTGCATGTTAGGGATATACTCTTGGCATGAAATCCAAACCTACTTCAGAACTTAACCCCTTGTACAAGAGCAGGAGTAAATTCATTCAGGTTATAATGCTTTCAGGAATATGTATATCTGCAGGGCATCCAGTCATTTCCTTAAATGGTCTGTTCCCTGATGCTACTTATCACTGATATCATGGTTGCAGATGCAGGGCAATTGACCACACGGTCTCTATTGCAAATAAATTTCCCTCTTTCTGGATTTTCTAAAATTCAGGATATATATTCATATAGTCAAGAGTAAAATGCCACTCGGTCCCCATGTCCAGGGGTCAATTTATAGTCTACCCCTCTGCTTGTTTCAGAGAAACAAGCGAATGACACAAAAAACAGAAAAACCCAACTTGATAAAAGGTTCATTAGGATTTAATAATGAAAGGAGGCTTACTAATAAATCTTTTCCCTGACAGTACTTCCTAAAAAATTCATGCTATGATCCTAACACATTGTCAGCCCCTGCTCATTTTGTTCTTTTGTGAGCACTTAGCCCTCTGGAACAAGAAGACCCTTTCCCCTTACACTCTTCACAAACCCCATGAATCCACCAACTCAAACTCTCACTGTCCAAGGAATGACCACTTAATGATCTTATTCCTAAGCTGCCCAACTTCTTCATTTATAGTTCAATTTTTTATCTTTATAGATGTCTTGTTGATCGTCTCATCTCTGCATCTCTAAATGATTTCCTCCCCTTTAGGATTCCATTTCAGTTCCAGCTTGCATGATGAAACTTTTTTTTGGCAAAAAATCCATTATGTTTGTGCCATCATAATAAAATTCATCTATAGGGAATTTATGGTTTTGGGAGATTTAAGAAACAGGGAACTGTCCCATCAGACAATTTACCATCTGGGAAATAACCATTCAGGGAATAGACCAGGAACCTTCTGCAATATATCTTGTTTCTTTCATCCTAATTTATTACTCATTGTTGCAAGTCTTGGGATTCTTGGTACCCTACTCCAAGAAGAGAATACCTCTCATTCAATGAACAGTTGGAGCCATTAAAGGAAGCTGACAATGAGTTGTTCATATCCTTTTATTTCCCTTTCTTTTTGCTTAAATTCAAGTCATTAACCAACTCCTTTGGACAATGAGCAAGGAACTTAGCATCTTGGGGAAAGGGATAATTTTTTGTCCCATGTCAAACTTGAAACCCTTGAATCTCTACCTGTATTGCCATGACCTAACTGCATTCTAAATATAATTGAAGTATGAGATGGTTGAGCACAGACCATCAGTACATGTGAATTGATGTTAACCCAACCCAACATAACCTATTAAGATTTTTTATAGGGAATTGTATGGCTCAGACGGGTGGTGAAAAAAATCCCATTTCTCATTCCAACATTTCAAAACTTTCCAAGTTAGGCAAGTGATCACATCTAACCTGTTGTTTAAATATCCAATGCTGTCTTTCTCCCATGGAAAATGACAGAGCTATTTTTTGTTTATCCTTTTAGTACTCATACTGTATTATCTATTCAAAATTGCCATCTTGGAGGGTGTTGCTGGATAATCTGCATTCAGTTTGAATTTTCTTTGTGACAATGATTAAGTTATCACTTTTTAATTATTAATATAGGTAATGATTTTGCTAACTTTTTTGCAAGAGTCATTGAAGTGACTGCTCCCTTTATTATAAATAAAAGTTAATGCATTACAAATGTGACCCTCTGGGATTACAAAGTTATATCTTTTCCATTTCATAGCAAAGTTCATTGACTTCGTTTTTAGGATGTTTTTCAGATAGGACTTTATTCTCTCCTTTCCCAACCCATTCCTATTTCAGCCACCAACTTTTTTTGCCTTTGTGGTTTCTCTGTTGCATGTGTGTCTCCATGCAAACTCTCATTAGGCAGACTTGAATAAGCCTAATATTGGAAGAGAATGGATGAAATGGAATGACTCCTTAAAATGTCTTGAAAATTTTCAGGATTTTAATGGAGGAAGTGAGCGAAGAGCAGCGCCTTCTGAGTGAGCAGGAAATGCTTGAAATTAGCCATCATGGTGATGAAGACAGTTCTCTGGGGCTCCAGGAGGAGATCCATAAAAAGCAAATGGAATACACAGAGCTGAGTGCATCTAGTCAGGATCTGGAAACCCAGATTGTGAACCTGGAGGAGGCAATTGTGGAGAAGAAGCAGCAACTTGAAGTGCTGCTTGGAGAAATGAAGCAGATGAATCTGGAGAGCCTCAGCTTCCTTCCTTTGGCTGAAGAAGTTCAGCATCTTGTTGATGGTGAGTCTTTACAAGTGTTTAGTTATATGCCAGGAATTTGTTTTGGGTGGTGATATTTAGTAATTAACCTCTTAATGTTCCATCACTGTCTGGGCTTACACAGGGTTCCCTTGTTCAAGTGATGCAATGACTGGGCTGACATGCTTTTGTCAACCCTGGCACTCTCACACCTCCTGGTATTAACCCTGAACCAATACCTCCCAATAATACCTTGTACTAGTCACCCCCCCCTCCCCCTCCCAATCCTGGCCCCTTGAATCCCCCTCTCAAGGCCAGCATGGTTGATTGCATTCCATTCAGTCTAGCTCACCCCTCAATAATAGCCATGCCTCACAGGAGATGATATAATAAGCTAGGGAAAATAATAATAAAAAAATTGACATGAGAGTATCTTCTGGTCAAGCATGCCCTCACCCTTAGCCAGCAACCCCCTCCCTCCTTGCAGCTCTAACCCCCAGGGATTTTACCACTGTGTTATGTGCAGCCCTGGTTACACTATGCTATGGACTATGTTTAGGGAAAAAAAGGGAAATGCATGAAAAATACACAGATTTTAGCATCTGATCCTATGGGAAAATGTGAAACTATGGATGTATCTAATTAATTGTGATGCATGGTAAGAGTTGGCACTAGAGAACATAATGGAGCAACTTGAAGAAAGTCAGAGGCTTGGGCAGGGGATTTAAACCTTGTCTTTTTGGGTTACCCCCCAAAAAATTCAATTTTTTACTGCCTGCTGCTTCCAAGTAAATTAGTGTATTCATTTTGCACTGTCAAGTGTAGCACAGCACTTTCGTGTTCCATTTGAATCAATCTCATGATTAGGAAGCAGTGAATGTTTTATGGAAATAGAATTAAGTTTCATGTTCACATTTCACTTTCGAATTGGGGTACCTGAAGCTAGCATGAAAAAAATAGTAGGCCTTTGCAAATTGGTTCTGATTATAAATACGAATAGTGTTACTCCAGCAGTGTTCCACTCCAGAACCTATCATTGGAGTTGTTACTCATTTTGAAGAGAATTTGCCTGGTTTACCTTGGGTTATGGGACTCATGAATAATTTTCTTTGCCCCAGAGCCTTTTCCCTCGTGAATGGCTTTGATTGCCATATGGTTTCCATTGTCATGGATGACCATGATGACCTCAAAAAGCAATAAATTGAATTAACAAAATGTGAGAAGCACTATGTGCCTCTTCCTAGGCCATGTGGTTGACTTCACCACCTAGGCTTAGAATGCAAAGTTTTGCACTGCTTTAGTAAAACATTACCTGAACTGATTAGTAATCAATTGAAGTTTAGTGAAGTAAATTAAAATGCCAACAAAGAATGACAAAATGCATCACCTGACTGAGGTAGAATCCATGAGGGGGAAAATTTGGGGGTACTTATATTCAAATGATTCTTGCTTGTTGTGATGAGAACTTTAATTTATTCACCTTCAGATTTTGGAAATAGGGTCACTTTGGATCCTATTATGTGGTTTTTTCTATAATGTTTCCTAATGATAATAATATTATATGATTAATATGAAAAAGTACTTGCTTTCATGTTTTCCACCCCTGCAATATACAGTATCAATCATGCATTTACATGAGTGAGACAAGGTTAATAGCATGGGGTCATGTATTTCCAACAAAAGTGAAGCAATACCTATTTTCATTATCCAAAGGTTAATCTAATTAAATTGACAGCCAGAGAAATAACCTTTATGCTGATTTCATCATCATTTTTTTTGTGCCTTGCTTCTAACCCCATCACATATTCATTCTTAATTATTCCATTTTTTTTATGCTTAGGAGGGAGTATCCAGAAGCGGAGAATGGTAGGATCTCCTCGCCAGTTAGAGACTGCTGCTCCAACACCAAAGAACCCCCAAGGTGTCTGGGTTTGATTTAAAAAAAAAATGTTATTCCTCTCCAGCAAATCAGAATCTCCAGTGGTTGTCTCTCATGCTAGACTTGAGGCCCTAAACTCCTCCTCCCATCTTGCTTATGGTACAACTGAGTTTGATATTTGTCCACTGACCTTACCATTGAGATTGCATTCAGGCTGTCATTGCTGCTTATTGTGTTATTCAATTCCTTCAACAATATAATTTAATACAGTCATCAATGTTGTTTTTTCTATTATTTAGAAACATCATTCCATGATAATTCTGCAATTAATGATGATCGCGATTGTCACTCGTGCCTCAGTCTCGTGTCTTGGAGCAGGTCTTTAGTGCAATAGCAGAGAAAATGTTAATGTCTCATCAGATAGGAGGACTTCAGGAAATGAAGATGTGCCCCAATGTAGGGACAGTCCATATATTCTGTCAACATGTTACATCATCTTTTTGAAAGGCTACATCCCAGTTTTTCCCTGTGTAATTGTTGTTCCTCATGAATATGTTGTGAATATTTCCTTATTTGAAGGCCTCAGTTACTACTCACATTTATTTAGAGTGAGGGAGGGAGAATGATGAGGCCAAACAGTCCTTTGAAAGAAAAGGCTAGCAAAAACCATGTTTCCCCCTTTCTCTGTCACCTCCCAACTTTCACTTCCAGTACTTTCTTGGCTAAGCCCCCCATGAACAAAGTCCTCCTTTTACATGGTTGGGGGTTGGGGAGAAAAATGTGCTATCCGATGGAAAATTTTATTAAGAAATACACATCCATAATGTTCCTCCAACACCACACACTCAGCACAACAGGAGGTACAACATAGTTATGATTCCTGGAAAGGCGATTTGGCACTTCGAAGCATCTGTCATACTTCATTGTTGAGACATAAGAGGTCTTCCTGTGATGGGATGAAGTAATCCAAAAGGAGATATTGGTTAGTACAGCCAATAGTGGTCTCCCTTGAAAAGGTTTTCTCGGTATGGTTAGCATCTGTATATTATGAGAGCATTATGTTTGCATTGACTTTATTTAATTTTCTTTTTTTGGCATCCGAAAATACTATAAAAAGTTTTTGGATGGGCTTGAAGTAAATGTGACAAAGTGATGCCGTTTCATGGTAATTATATTTTCAACCTAACGGAAACCAACTTCGCTGGATTCATTTTGTGAATGAAAAAAATAAGATCTACAATTTTTCCAGGAAATTTTGGATATCCACTTCTGCAGTCATCCTTAGCCGCATCCAATCGGCTAGCGGACAAACAAAGCGGATCATTCCAAAGTTCTTTGCTCGTAATTTGCGGATGTTCGAGCACCTGTTGACCTTTGTCCGGCAACCTAAGAGGGAACTGGTCAACAGATACCTGAAGAGGTCTCATGGCAACGTTGTTGGCGCTGCTGGCCGAATTCGTGTTATGGCACTTGAGGCGATGCCGTCATATTTTTCTCCCCTCTCTGTATCTCTATCTGCTACATCCTCTTCGTAGTTTTTAATAGGAGACCGAATCTCCCTGGCTTGTTTCATTTGGATGTCATGCCAAACATCAATCTGCATGATTTAATGCAGACCCAATGCATGGATGCGCGTATTCAGCGGATGTATGAGTGGATCGTAATTTCCAGTGCCCTCCGAGTCTCCATTGTGAACTACCAAGCGATTTGATTGTTTTCTGGAATCGTATCTTCGACCCTTTGGGGAAGGAAAAGTGTGATAGTAAAGAGTTTCCCCGATATCATTCGCTCTTTCATGTCTGAGGGTCTTCAAACCTTATAACTTCAAACTATTTTGCGTTCCGTTCTTTTGGCCTTTGAATGCTTCAGACCGCGGAAGCATTCTGCATTTCGGACGTTCATCTTTAGAGTCTAGCGCTTCCGAAACCAACCCGGCCCAATAGCAGAAAGGAAACTTTTTAGTTAATTTAGTTCCAGACGGGATAAGTTCTCCATGTGCGATCGTGATAGACTGACAGACGCTAAGTCTAAGCATGTTATAGATATGGTAGACAGCTTTAACTTGGTACACAAGTAATTGTTGGGTTCCTGATTTCAGAAAAAATTCCACTTTTGATGTACAGCCATTGGAAGCAGTTTTTTTTTGGGTGAGGGGCACTTTCCATGAAAATTTTTTCGCTCCAGTGAATTGGGCAGAGATAAAAATTGTAATTTCACACCCAAGTAGCTCGGAGGGGCGTTAATTTCTTCCTGGACAATGCAGTCCAGGAAGAATTTTCCAGAAAGAGCCCTGGGGGGCTCTTTTTTGGAGGAGGTGGGGGGGTATGAGGTTTTTCGCTAAACTTATCCTCTCCAGCGAACCGGTACATATGACAGAGCTGAAATTTCGCCCGCAAGTGTGCTAATTGACAGGAAAATGTCTTCTTTTAAGCTACTGTCCTTGGGCACATTTTCGAGAGGACGATTTTCAATAAATTTTTTCGCTGAAGCGAATTGACAAATGTAGAAAGACGAAACTTGCACACAAGTAGTTGCTTCAGTGTTGATTGCAAGAAAACTCCAATTTTGGAATACGTCCCCCGGGAGCAAATTCTTTGGGTGTTAAGTTTTTTTTTTACCGATACTTTTTCGTTCAATCGAAACGGGCTGATATACTAGCTGAAATTCAGATGACAAGTAGGTCTTGGGGTACTGTTTGTATGGAAGCAATCCAATTTTTGGATTGCATGGTGGCACATTTCTTTGCTCGTCTGTTTATCCGGACATTTTTTCACTGCAGCGTAATTGGCAGATATAGGAAGGTGACATTTGGTAAACATGTAAATACTGGAATGTTGATTCCAACCTAATTCTTGTATTTGTGTTACAGCACCCTGGATGAACCTTTTTTTTTCAGAGGGGGGGCGGGGAGTTCTCGAAATTTCTAAGCTGAACACAACAGTTCTTACAGTTGTCGTGTAAAAGGATGAAAGGTACTCTATGTAGGAATAATTCCATGGAGTATCTTTGGAGGGAAGCTACCAATTTCCCGTTGATGTTGTTAGCCTCAATTTGACAACTCGAACTAACTTGACGTCACCGCAAAAATCCCTGAAATCCATAGCGTGTGAGCGCCCAAGAAGCTCATTTCACACAAATAAATCGATTTTATAAAATCGTCGACCGGCGAAGACGCGACCGTTGACTGCTCGTCTCTTGTAGACAGCCCTCGATAAAGCTACCGCCGGCAAACAAGTGATGGGCCGGTGAAATCTCAGGATGAGAGAGTTCGGGGTAGATTTATAGAGGGAGTGATTTCTGGCATAATATTTGATCAGTCGGAGGATGAAATTGGGGAAGCGCAGAACGAAAGGAGCAGTGGAACAGTCCGAGCAACGCGTCTGCAGTAAAGCAATAAAGAAACGAGACCATCTCGCTCGGTCCCGTGACCATCCTGGATTTATTCCGCTTCGGCTTTGGAGCTCACATCTTTCTCTCCTCCGTCGAGAAATCGTGGGAATGATCTCGGGTGAATCCTGACAAGCCGTGGTAATTTGCACGTCCGCAGACTTTACAAAGCCATAATTCTGAGACCTTTAATCCGATATCCACGAAATCGAACATTTTCAAAGGAAGACATCATTGCTCATTCTTCGTTGTTCGCCTTGGCAGTATATGTCGCCTTTTTACTTTGGCAGCACAACGAAGAATGCTCAACTTTTTCCAACCGTATCGCGCTTGAAAGTGAGGTGCACCGCAACTTAAACATCTTAGAATTTGCGCAAAGCACGTAATCGGTAGTTAGCTCTCATAATGCATCGGATGGTCCACGAGGATCATCATTTAGATTTGAAACCATGCTTACCCCTGTAACTACCAGATCCCGGATAGTCATAAGTTTAACTCTTTGTTTTGTCTCTTCATTCCCAGAGAATCTCTTCAAAAGGCTTTGCCTAATTACTGTCACATGTCTTCATGAAAATATGCGGAGTATTAGACTTTTCAAGTTTGCGGTGCAGTCTACTTAAATGGTTAAATTATAGTATCAGGGTCCATTGGACCCAGAACGGTAACCACAAGGTTTAAGTGATTTGTAATGACTCATTCGTGAATGAGTGAGCTTCTTGCAGACGCTTGTGACGAACGTTGCGCTTTTCAACTCCTTAATTTTCAACGTAATTAGTTACCGGATTGAATCATTTAGAATACTCCGATTCCAAAGGTCAGTTCTTATACAACCATATAAATGAGATGATTCCAGGCGATGGATTTATTCCAGGAGCTACACGCTCGGCGCTCGGATGATTGCATCGTTCGAGTCATCCTGCCGTCATTCCATCCAGCCGTCAACCCGTCCGGCCATAATCCCATCCCGCTTCCAAATCCGTCGGGAATGGATTTTTTTTTTCCAAGGATAAGCTCATCGTTCTCGCTCCGGAAACGAATGCGTTGATCCTCGATGAATCTTCCCCAAGGCCCAGGTTTTCGCTAGGATTTCGGCTCTTGACGAGACGAAGTCGACCAACTTGGGAAGGGAAACCGCTCGGACATTGGGGGAGGAGGAGGGGGGGGGCATCCACTCGTCGACGGATGTTCCGTTGTCTCCCGTTTGACATCGATCACGTGGTCGCAGAGAAATTTCGTAGTCGCCACACGACACGTCGGCGACGGGCGTCTCTCGGCAGAGGGGCTTCCTTGATCCGGAGGACGGGAAACGGAAAACGAACGGGAGAAGAATCCCGACGGGGCGCTCATACACGGAGTAAAAAAAAAGCTCACTTGCCATCGTCCACGCTTTCCCGTCGCGAAACTCAGCAACGGAACAGAAAAGCAAATGCGAATGCGATCGGGAGGCCGAGAGCTTCGCGTTCCGTGCAAGATGGAGGCAGACCCGACGAGAGTCGCATCGGAAAACGCTCTGAAGCGAACGCATCGCTGCTTATTGTATGTACAGTTTTACTCCTGATGTATATGCATAACTCGTGTTATTTATTAGATCCTGTGCAGTTGATCGATGAATTACTCCCAATGACAAGGTAAATTTATCGAGTGAATTTTAAATACTTCTCAAGATTTCTCAGAAAATTCATTATAGGCCAATGAGTATCAATTAATGTAGAACAAAATCAGCCCCTAATCTCCTGCGCCCAGCTGCGCCTAAAACGAGGGGAAAATTTTCATATTATTGATCTTACAATCTTATTTCTTCAGGAAAGAAACCAATGCCTTTGACCCGAAGGGACCTCTACAACATCATGAGACAGATGAACC